TCTGAAATTGTTATTGTAGGTGCATGTCTGGACATACAATAACATAATCTAAAGACATAATCTAAAAATGTATTCAGAAATCACAATGTATGATTTTTTTGACTATTTATTTGTATAATACAGCTGCAAAGAAGTATTTAAACACCTGTCTATCAGCTGGAATTCTGACCCTCAAAGACCTGTTAGTCTGCCTTCAAAATGTCCAGCTCCACTCCATTTATTATACTAAATTAGACGCACCTGTTTGAGCTCGTTAGCTGCATATAGACACCTGTCTGCCACATACAATCAGTAAGAATCCAACTACTGACATGGCCAAGACCCAAGAGCTGTCAAAAGACACTAGAGACAAAATTGTAAACCTCCACAAGGCTGGAAAGGGCTACGAGGAAATTGCCAAGCAGCTTGGTGAAAAAAGGTCTACTATTGGAGCAATCATTAGAAAAATGGAAGAAGCTAAACATGACTGTCAACCTCCCTCAGACTGGGGCTCATGCAAGATCTCACCTTGTGGGGTCTCAATGATCCTAAGAAAGGTGAGAAATCAGCCCAGAACTAGATCACTGCAAAGAAACCTATAGATATTAGAAAAACATTTAACCCTGTTTTACACATTTTAATATGTAACTCATAGATAATCGAAATACTAATTCATTCGCTCAAAAACTAATTTGTGAGCAAACTTGTTCTCATAATGCACTTTCTTGTGCCACAGCATAATGTGTGGTGCGCACCAAATTGTAAAATATAGCACATCTCCTGTAAAAGTTAGAGGAATAGACCATAACCAGAACATGATAGACAAGTATAGTCTGAGTTTTATTTTAGGTGTTGGATAAGCTACAAAGAGACTCTGATCAGCCTGGCTTTGCAAGGCTTTCTCATTAGTGTGGCATTTAAATAGAATATTAACCGCCAGGTATGAATGATGACCAGATGTACCAATGTGTGCAGGACTGTGCAGTATAAGAACACCTGCTGCTGTGCAATTGGTGTTATCTAATTAAACAGCAAGTAACTGCATCCAGTACTTGTCTCATAGTATTGTCCTAAAGGAATCCAGTTTTTAACAGAGTAGCAGATATGAACGCTCTGTGGAGAAGATGTAGGCAAAGGAGAAAAAGAAGATAAAGGACCTTCCCTTTTAGGGTAACCAGTTTTAAAAATCACAAAAAATACTAGAGCCTATTGCCTTATATGATTAAGAGCTTCAACAGAGTGACTTCTAGATATTTAACTAGAACTTAGTTTCATCAAACCTCAAGTGGTCAGAGTTTATTTCCATCTGCAGCAGCACTTTATGCACAAAGGGTCTTTTATGCTGCATCATTACACTGATCCAGCCACTGATTTTGATCAGTCTGATTCTGTTATCTTGCTCTTCTGTACTTTTAAAGTTGGTAACCTTTCTCTTAATCATTCACAGTAGCACCAATCTCTGGGTCTAAGCTGACCAGAGATTATTTCTCTTTTGTTGCTTGCTTGCGCAGGGAGCCTCAAATCGCATATTTACACATGCTGAAGGCTGACTCATTCTGTGTGAGCAGATGCTTGGTTTGTGGTCTGACGAGCGTATATAGACTCCCTTCTGTTCTGCCTTTAATCCACAAGTAATAGGCTCTAACAAGGAAGCCTATAGAATCACCCTTAAGGTTCTGGGCCTCACTGGTTACCATGGCTGAAAACAAAATCATCATTTTGACGTCTATTCTCCAGTACAAATACTCAGTAAAACCACGGACCACTGAGTAGATGTTTGCAGAATACAATTTAGTCAGTGTTCTGCTGCATCATGTATGAACTTAGAGAGCAGAAATGCACTACATGACTCTAAATGGCATTTTTAAAGATGAGTTAGAAAAAGGGAGGTAAGGCTAAACCCTAAATGTTTTTAACACCGCAAACATGCTCTTATTATGGCCACAAAAAGTAATCCGTGCACACAAATTAGTATTTAGTCAGAACAAATTCTTATTTCAGGGGCACAAATTCATTTTTCGTGCATGCAAATTAGTATTTCTTGAAAACTAGTAAATATTTTGTGGGCACAAATTGGTATTTTGTGGAAACGAATAAGTAGTATTTCGTGGGAAGTATTTTGTTGGCACAAATTTGTATATTCTGGGAACAAATAAATGTTATTGGAATGAATAAGTCTTTGATTGGCAAAAATGAGTATTTAATTGGAACAAATTATTATTTGCGCACGTTACTGTATATGCAGTGGGTAGCACTGCTGCCTTGCAGTTCGATTCCTGACCCGGGGTCTTTCTGCATGGAGTTTGCATGTTCTCCCTGAGCATGCATGGGTTTTCTCCGGGTACTCCGGCTTCCAAAAACATGACCGTTAGGTTAACTGGCTTCTCTAAATTCTCCTGTTTGTCTCTGTGTTGCCCTGCGATGGACTGGTGACCTGTCCAGGGTGTACCCCGCCTCTCACCTGTAGACAGCTGGAGATAGGCACCAGCACCCCTCGCAACCCCAATTGGGATTAAGCGCGTCAGAAAATGGATGGATGGATACTTTGCTAACATTGCTAGCCGCAACCATAGACACTGATACATCAGGTGAGAGGAGTGCAGACAGAGTAGCATTCTTGGGTCAGGCCAAACTGCGGTCAGAGAGAACACAAACACATCAATTGCGACCAATGGTACTTTATATTTTCAGACACTCTGAATCAGTTTAAGTCTCAATCAATTTCCAGATAAATTGGCTGACTGAAAACATCAACATTCAATGGGCTACATGGGACCAACTGATTGATATAAATGATTTTCTAACTCAATACGTGATGTCAGTATGCAGAACTTTTGTTCCGCCTATGGGTGGACAAATAAAAGGAGACTACAAACCAGATTTTGTGGAATGACTATTTCACAAGTAGGATTTTATTAAAGATTATCCTGATGTTTTGTTTCGCAGCAAAAAATATGATACAAAACATTTGGGAAACTTATTTTAAAGATCATAACAGCCTGAAATTGCTTCACCTAAGAATAAATAATGGTAAATACCATGTGTGTCCAGCATACATACTTTTACACAGAAAATAATAGTTTTTAAAGCAGTAAAGTTTTCCGATGATTTTTAAATTTATTTATATGTGTGGAATGCATGGATTGTTACCGACATCTTGTGAACATGTTATTTCAATAGCACCTCTAGAAATATATTTACTGAGAAAAATGGTGGTGTGTTTAATACATATTTCACCCGCTATAGAAGTCAAATCCATTGTACTGAACAGTTTCCACCTAGTGCTGCCAGACGATCTGCCTGGTGAGAAGTGATGCTTATTCATTTGTTGATCCATCCATCCATCCATCTTCCTCCGCTTATCCGGGGTTGGGTCGCGGGGGCAGCAGCTTAAGAAGGGAGGCCCCAGACTTCCCTCTCCCCAGCCACTTCTTCCAGCTCTTCAGGAGGAACCCCAAGGCGTTCCCAGGCCAGCCGAGAAACATAGTCTCTCCAGCGTGTCCTGGGTCTTCCCCGGGGCCTTCCCCCGGTGGGACGTGCCCAGAACACCTCACCAGGGAGGCGTCCAGGAGGCATCCTAAACAGATGCCCAAGCCACCTCAACCACCTCATTTGTTGATATTCTGATAATCTCCCTTTCTTCCATCTCGTTCAGCACTTGCTGCAGCTTCATGTAATGGTCAGGGAGCACTCACCTGTATGGGAGCTGGAAAGGTTTGCTGTCAGAGAGGGTTATGTGGTGCACAAAGCCCTTCGTTTCCCTAACGATCAAGATGGTGACGGGATAATAAACCATCATACTTAAAAAATTATTGTCTGGCAGCCCTCAGAAACTTCACAAAACTCAATATTGACACCACCTAGCCCAACTTATCCAAGCCTGTCTTTGGCTAAGCTGACTTCTATAGTGGGTGACATGGTGGACTGAATACAGCTAACAAGTGGAACCTCTGAGCACTCTGCCCCACACATGTTCTCTAGTGCTACAATGGGGGGTACCCACCTATCAGCTAGTTTTGTGTTGTCTCTCAAAAACACAGCTGTCAGATATATTGATGAGCTTTAGCAGGATCCATCTGTCTCCCCACAATGTAGTAACAATCTTTGCTACCAAAACATCCCTAGGTGCTGAGTGGGAAGATGTTAGCTCTGTCATGACTGTGCTGTCTGGAGAAAGTGTGTTTTAAGCAGTTTCCCCTCCATAAGAGATTCACACCCAGGCTCAAAGCAGGTAGCAGAATCACATCTTACGTTACCGATCTTATCAGGATTATCTCCAGCTTTTCAGGGTTTAAGACCAGACAGCATGGACAGGAAATTCTTAATTTCTGGATCCCCAGAAGGCCAGAGGGTAGACACTGTTTTTGAGTGAGACTTGCATAACTTGGACTGATGTAAGATGTATTTTATCAAAAGAGCATGAATTCTGAATTCATCATTTTTTAAATTAGTATATTGATGTGTATAATTAACCACAAAAATGTTTATGTTTTGAATATTCCACTTGAGAGTTTTTCTGCTGAAATTTACTACAATTTTCTTGCCCTATCTGTGACTGTGCCCTGACAGACTGTGGAAGAACCACAGTGCTTTGTACTATAAACTTCCAGAAAACTGTAAAAGTGCGGAAAGCCTGAGTTCCTTTAAATCAAGACTAAAAACACATTTGTTCAGGATTGCTTTCGACTGTTCTAGTTAAACAGTTCAACTGAAACATCATTAGTTCAACTTTTTTTTATTTTCTTTAGTCCAACTGTTTTTAATCTTGTTTCTTTTTCTGCATTTTTTTTCTTTTTTTTTCCGTACTTGCTTTATTTTCCTATATTTTAATAATGTAAAGCACTTTGCATTGTCTTTGTACTGAATTGTGCTATTATTGGGTAAGGGTGGCCATGCCCCCCCCCCCCCATCTAGCTCCGCCCCTACATTGGACCCCTTTTTCTCCAGCTGGTAACGCATCAGGTCCCTGCATCTGGATTTTACGCATCTGTCGCCCCCCGCCTCCACAGACCTGCCTACTCTGCGCCCCCCGCCCCTTCAGCCCAAACGCTCCAGTCTCGCGCTGATTGTCTGGAGAACCGACGCTTCCTCCCCAACCATCTAATATTCCGTTTTTCAGCTTGGTTTTCCAATGGCCGCCCGGGGCGTGCTTTGCGACCAGCAGCTAAATAGTTAAGGCGTTTTTTGCCGGATGCACCCACACTCCAGCAGACCGCTACAGCACGAAGATGGCGTCGGAGGGAGCGAGCGGAGAGCAGCCTCCCCCGGTTCAAACACTGGTCGCTGCGGCGCCGGGAGGTGTCGACACGGTAAGCCGCCGGGATGGAGGCGCTCTATCTTTGTATATAAAAATGTGTAATGTCAGCGTGGCTGTCACTGGAGCGCAGGGAATGAAACGCGCTGCGCATCTATGTCTCTAAAAGGCTCTGGAAGCAACAGCGGCGCGAGGCGCTCTGATCTATGAGGCACGAGCCCCGTTTCCATGAGGCACATTTATTCTTAGCATGTTTGCTTTTATTCTTCTTCTTTCGTGTGTGTGTCGTTCATTGTAATAGTTTAGTGGTTTCTCGCGGCCTCTCAGCGTTCCTGTTTTCCCCATGAAAGGAAAAACTGGCGCTGGATACGCAGGTTGTGACTCATTCTAGTAGGAGCTACACAGGAATACACACACATCTCATTCCTCCTGAAGGGGCTTGTTTTCTATACTGGTAGAAAAACATAAATCATTTTTTTCCTAATCCAAAGGGATTTCAGTTTCTTTGATGCGCATCACTGAAACAAAGTTATCAGGCTACTGTCCAGTTTTTTCTTTATTATTCAGAACAGAAGTTTTCACCCTTAGAAAATCATACCATGCTCAGATATCTATACCTTTTGGTTATTTGATCCACATCAAACCTCTCCTATTTATAGCACTGATTGCAATGCAAAACCTCTGTTTACATTTTCTGCAATCCATTAAAGGCATAAGAGGGAGAGAAACGCACTATTATCAGTTCAATCTGGAAAAATCACAAGAAAAATAAATTGATACAATTACTTTGTCTTTGGCGCTCAGACCTCGGCAGGAAACATAGGGTTGAATTTTGATGGATATGCATGAACAGGAGCAAAGAATAGGGCTGTTTCCCCCCCAGGCCTGAAAATGGTGGTGGAGTGGAGATAGATGAAGTTGGTCAGTCTGTAGATTGCTGGTTAGCGAGACGGTATGCTGAGATCCAGCTTCAGAACATGGAAGTCCAGTTTGGATAACACAGGTTGAGAGAACCCGTCCATGATTAGCAAGCATGAAGCGACAGTGGAGAGGAAAAACTTCCCCTTGGGAAGAAACCTCTTGCAGAACCTTCTGCCGGACCCAATAAGATGAGACAAGGAACACAGTAAGAGTCTGGGAGGAATGAGACTCTGATGAAGCTTTAGCTACGATGGTGGAGGAGGGGCTGGAGGTGGGTTGAAACATTGTCATCTGAATGAAGTCACACAGCACAACCACCGCCTGTGCACAGGAGCAGACAAGTTGCAGATCGGAGGCTTTTTAAGATGAACTTTGGATGCCGATTGGCTTTCGTGGAGGCGTGTGTCGCAGGTGGATATAGGAGAGCAATGAGTTTCTTTAGTTTAACTTCCGCCTAGGCTCCATTTTGTATTACTATCAGCACCATATCTGTAGTTTGATGTAAAGTTTATAAGGCTGCATTTAAATATAGCTCTACTCTTATCTGACATCTTCATTAATTAATCATGTTTTTAATGATTGATCTGAGGCTGAATGATGTTAGTTATTGACTTCTGCTTCCACTAGTTGAAACCAGTCAGGCTTTTTCCCTGCAGCCATGTCTGCTGTTGGAAAGGACTGCAGGGAAGGTTGTGTGCCTTTCCTTTTATATAAAACATTTTAATGGCAAGTCTAAGGCTGGATTCAGAAAAGATCTTTAATCCCCAAGGCAACTTTGGGGAAAGTTTACTTGTGATTTAGTGATATTTTTCACATGATTTCATTCAAATCCCGCTTAAAGCTGTTTAACTTGTAAATTGTGTGACTGCAGCGTCATGATAGAAGAGCGGCAAGTAGATTTTAGGGAAAAAAAGACTGAAATGTCTAGATTCAGAGGTAATATTGGGCCAAGTTTATCTAAAAGTGAGTCCCAGTCCTACCAGTTAAGCCCGGTTACACAGAGGCCATCCACAGTGTTCGAGTTAACAAAAAAAAGAGGTGGTTGGGAGTTCAGCCTGCATTAATTAGTTTAACTG